GCCGTCCGTCTGAGCCGATACAAGCTGTTCCGTGATGCTGTGTGTGCGTGCGGTGGCCGATTCCCGAGTTCATCCTGACTACTAATTGGTGGTCAGAAGTTGCTGTGCTGCCGGTGCCGCCACCATGGTTTCTGTTAATTAATCATTGAGTGGCTTACATCTAAGCAGACACCTTCGAAAATGATACTTGCTTTTGCATTCAATGCCCAATGCCAGCTTGGCAGACATGCATATGCATACAGGGTGGCCAGTCAATTCGCGGTTAGGCCACCATGCGCGTCCCAGAAAATGATCATTTTTCCGCCTGGCCACTGGCCCTACATTGCTTATTCAGCAATTATCCATGTGCTACAGTTCCCCTCGTGAATGTTTCCAATTTCCGTCCCCACTCATCGTTTCTTCTCTTCCCGCACCACTTTCCAGGGCTGGCTTAGAGACAGCGAGTTCCCTTTGGCTCCCAGTAAAACATTCCCCTCTCTCCATTTTTAGCTGGATCTCTGAGCTCTGTCACTTTCTATGATGGATCCGGTCTCGGCGCTGGGTCTTGCTTCAGCCGTTGTGGCATTGGCCGAATTTTCGTGGAAAGTCGCTGCTGGTGCCGTCGAGATTTTCCGCTCTGCAGATGGGATGATTGACGAGAATAAGGAGGTCAAGCGTGCCAAGGAGACATTGCGTGAGGTTTCGGAGTCCCTCAAGAAGGGCGTTTCTGATGGAACAAAGGCCGAACAGGAGATCAAGCGGCTTGCCGAAAAGTGTCAGAAGGACTCCGAAGAAGTGTTGGCTTTGCTCAAGCTGATGTGCGCTCCGAAGGACTCTAATGATTCAAAGCTTTCAGGGGCATGGAAAGGTTTTAAAGCCAGTTTTCACAGCATATTGAAGAAGGGACGCCTAGAGCAACTGAAGAAACAGCTTTCTGCTTGCCAATTCGAGATCTTATTTCACACCGCAAATCTGCTTAGGTAAAAGCATCAAATTTCTATTTCATTTCGATCCCCAACACTCTCCAACGTTTACTGACCTCGCCAAATCCGCCTCTCAGGGATAACCAGTCCGCGTTCAGCAGACAGCTGGAACAAATCCAGCAGACCTGCAAAGACACGAGAATGGAAATGGCCGCTCAGGTGACATCGCTCCGCGATACCTTGATACAATCCATCGACTCGCAAAGCGCCACAGGTCGTCTGGGAACATCCAGCATAATCAATCAGCTTCAGGGTCTTGCATCAGCGGTCAGAGCTGTCCCGATCCAGCACCTCATTCTGCGGCACCTGGTATTTGCTGAGATTGACTGGCGGCAAACCCAAATTCACAATGCTGATGCTGATACCTGCCGGTGGATTCTGGATGGCGAAGCAAATCAGACAGACACTGCTTCAAATACTGCGACCACAAATCCCGAAGATTCTACCCAAGAAGGCCTCGTCAATCAATTCAGACGGGAAACTCGACAATCCTTTAGCGACTGGGTGCAGAGTGGTAATGGTGTATTGCACGTCTCGGGTAACCCAGGGTCTGGCAAGTCGACACTGATGAAATTCATCGCGAGTCATCCAACGACTCGTCAGAAGCTGACGGAATGGTCCGGTTCGCAAAACCTTGTGTTTTGCCAGTTTTACTTTTGGAGTGCTGGTAACCCTTTCGAACGTACGATGCCGGGCCTCTACCGGTCTCTATTGTTCCAGTCGTTGAGCCAGCACCCGAATTTGATCCCAAACGTCTTTCCGAAGCAATTCAAAGTGATGGCCCGCAATCAAGGAGATCGAACTGTGGAAAAGGCTCTGTACTTCCGCGACAGCGATATTGCAGACGCGTTTACTCTGCTACTCAAACAGGGACGAGAAAAGAATTACAAGATCTGTTTCCTTATTGACGGTCTCGATGAAGTCGACGGAGATCCGCTATATCATCGCAAGCTTGCATCTGAGATGCAAGGCTGGGCCTCTGTGCACGATATCAAGCTCCTAGTCAGCTCCCGTCCATGGCAGGAATTCCTCGGTATCTTCACGAAGACGATACATTTGCACAAATTGAATGCCGCCGATATCCGGACATACTGCTCGAAGCAGCTGGACAACTATTTCAGTACATGCTCTGAAATATGGCGTCAGAACGCTCAAGAGACGACCCTCACACTCCAAAGCCTCGTCAACGACATCACGAGCGGTGCTCAGGGCGTATTCCTATGGGCTCACCTGGTCCTTCACTCCGTTCTCTTGAGTATTCAGAATCGCAGCACCATTTCCTACATACAGAACAAAATTCAGCAGTATCCGTTCAAACTTGACAAATTATACGACAAGCTTCGGGAACATCTTGAAGAGGATCCTCAAAATAAGCGAAAAGCGGATCAAATGCTCCTGTTGGCAGTCCATTGTCCATATGATCTCTATGCGATTGCTTTCGATTGGCTCGACGAGGAAGGCGGTCTGACATTGGCCGATCATCATTTTCCGAGCGCGGAACACAGTCAAGCGTATGGTGAGCAGGAGATTACTTTTCGGCTGGCCCGCGTCTGCGGGCAAATGGACGGGTTGACACGCGGATTGCTTGAATTAGACGTCAGTGATGGTACTACAGGAAACGAGGAAATCTTGAAAAACTCGTTCCAGCAGACGAAAGTCAAGTTCTGTCATCGAACTGCCCGGGATTACATTTTGAAGCGGGACTTGGAGTTCCGGGTATCATGGCCAAACTTTGACGAAACCGATCTATGGGGACGCTTGTGGCTTGCCTACCTCCTATACGGTAAGGTTGATGGCCGTCCTGGATACCGTGGACTATATCTGGCCTCAAGGTTTTGCAGGACCTTCGATTTCAACACGATTCGCCGCTTCGAAGAACCCATCATTGCAGTCCTTGAACCATTCTGGGCCGATAGCGAACTAGGAGTGGAGCGATGTTACGAAGACCAGAAAGTCGACACTGACAATTCGCCTTCTTTTATTCGATACGCCGCGTTTTGCGGACTAGATCGTTATGTGCTTGCCGAGCTTAATGCTCAAAAACGGGCGAAGGACAATGAGTCAGCCGAGCCAGGCCTTCTCTGCACTTGCCTTCTTGCCGCCCACTACGAGTTTGTGTTTGCTCTGGTCGAAGATCAGAGTCTTTTAGACCTCGACAGACCAGTGCTGACGAGGCTCCCACTCGTTGAAGGGCCAATTGCATTTCCAGAATGGCTCGTTGCTTTCCATGTGGTGATCCACCGCATATACAGGCGAGGCAATTTCCTCTTCGGATTCTATCGGCCTGAACAGAGCAAGGGAATGGTGCAAGTGGTTGAGCGCCTTCTTGATTACAGCGCGCAGGCTGGCGAATCAGTCATCTTCATTCTGCGCGACGCAGTCAGCGGACAGTTTCAACTCTCCGGAATGGACCCTGCAGCCATCGAACAGGCTCAACTCTCCGGAATGGACCTTGCAGTCAACGAACAGCAGCTTCAACTCTCCGGGATGAAACTTGCATCTTACTTTAAATCACGGCTATGTGAGTACTATCATGAGGTCACCGAACATGGCTTTGATCATGGCGATGCGACGATTCACGGCGAAGCTCTTGAGATGTTGAAAAAGCTGAGTGGCTGCGCCTGTGAATCTACCAGCGATAGACCGCGTTGGCGACTCCACAGTGTCTTTTGGCAAGAACAGTTCATTGAGTGGGAGACACCCGAGATTTCAGAGGAAACGCACGAGAGGTTCTCGCGGGCATTCAGAGTGTTTTGAATTGGTTGCATTTAAGGACAAGAAACAATGTGTCTTATCGACAATAATAGTGAGATTCGATATACAAGGCTTTAATCAGTGACTTTCCAATCTACTTCTATTAACATAGGTATAGACCACTCTATAGAGGTTGACATATCTATGTAGTGACTAAGGCATAAAGGCTTAGTGCTGCTTTAGGAAAGATTAAATGATATTCTCTGTATAAAGATGGTAAATCTCCTCTTATTCTATGGCTAACCCAGAATACACATGTTGCCGCTGTGTGCATTATGTGCTGCCTTGCTTGGTCATGTGTGCTCGGCCAGTATGGATCCAGATAGAGCCCAGTGTGAAAATACAAATTGAATGCCTCACCCTCAGCATATTCAAGGGCAGCCAGGGAAATGTCAACACACCCTTGCCTCGCTGCAGTTGCCGCGCCTTAGCCAGAATGCAGCCAGACACATGTATAGTGAGACGGTCCTCACGTCGAATGGGCAAAGGGCACAAACTGATTATAAGGAATTGTTGATTTACAACTATGGTTGCCTAACTAAAAGAAAGGAAAGGGCAGCAGAGCTGCAATGGACCTGGCGTGCATTCAGCCTGACATATAGAGGCATCCGGCGCCGATCTCTAGTTTCATCCTTGTGTTAGGAGAGGAGATTTGGAGACAAGGAAAATTTCAAGTCGGCGCTACCTTCTATCTGTGGTCAGACATCAAAGGGGGAAGGTTTAAATCCTAGAGGGTTTGGGCACACCGGCCACATGTAGTAACTGCAGTGGGGTCAACAACTATACACACACATTCACAGGCTTTAGTGTCTCTACACAGGTACTTCTATGCCCATCCTGCATCATTACACACAATACCATTCACTGATTATAGTCAATAATTAAGGTAGCTGGCTTGCTGTATAGTCTCTAATTTAAGTTTCACGCTATTTACTATTAATGTGGCAACACCCACTAGCCACCCCCTACCTGCCCGCCTACCAGCTAGATTAAAAATAAGATATATTAAGCTATGTAAAAGTGAGCTCGCGAAACCTGCAAAGAAGTCAAAATGTTTAAAGCATGATCGCCAGGAGCTGAGACTCCTTGTAAGGAGTAGCGAGCTGCATAAAAAGCATACCGGAAAGTTAGGGCAGACAGTTACAACTCTCTCTCCTTGGCACTGTGAGCAAAGCAAACGTTGTACCACTGTTAGTAAGTACTTCGCCCAACTGTATCCCGGAATTCCGGAATCTTTACACTATGCATCAACAAAAATACAAAAAAGCATTTGGACGGGAATTGAGCCCGACGTGGGGGTCGAACCCACAACCTTGAGATATATCTCTGTTAGAATCGTGAGGTCCTATAAGAGTCTCACGCTCTACCGATTGAGCTAGCCGGGCGTCTGTTAAGACGCTTTGTTCGATGGAAGGATGGTGGAATTTTAGTACTATATAGTTTATCAATTTTAGCCCGAAGGATCTAAGAAATTTCATCATTCTTTTATATTTATCTCTTTAAAAATTTAATTCTAAATTTCAAGTTAATACTTCATTATAATAGAGTTTAATTACTTTTAATAGTTTTATAGAATTAATTAGAGGTGGTTAAGGGGGGGGGGGAAACTGCTAGGTTTGTGTGAGTGTGTCTGCGTGCCCCGAAATAGGCTCCACTGGTAATTGGCTGCATGTGGCCCGTGCGCCCACACCCTCTAGGATTGAAACCTTGCCCCTCCGATAGAAGTGCCCCTCCGATAGAAGGTACCGCCGACTTAACTTCAATTGACGTATTGAGGACAGCTGCCTTGTCTCGGTATCCCCTCTCGTGGCAGTTCGAACGGGTTTGTGTGTGAGGTGATCACTGACACAAACTTGACTACTGCTAGGGAATCAGGCGTGATCCAAAAGACCAGAGTTTCCAATCGACATGGGAATTCCCTAGCAGTGCATAAGACACATACTGTCACAATCACCTGACTTACAAATAAACTATAAAGACTGCTCCCTTTCCTGGTGTAATATGATTCCAAGCAGCGAGTAAAAGATTGGCCACCGGACTATCACTGGATTTCCATTATTCGTTTATTTCAAGCTCCAGTTGAAGCCAGAGGCATGGCAAGATCATGAGGGTCTTGTCCCCTTAAAGCTACTAAGACTGTTTAGAAATATTTCGTCGCTTCCTATATATGGTCGTGTCATCCAATACCAAAGGATACTGTAACGGCGCTGGTCTCACATACTGCTAGAAATGTTTCCAAGAGATTGCAAATTCTGGTCTTTTGGCCAGCGCACCTGGTTTGCTAGCAGTAGTCAAGTTCGTATCAAATGCTCAAACTTTGAGTTCAAAATTACACAGCCTAGAATACAAACACACCTAGCCATAGCAAAACTTCCCTGGGCATGAATGGGAAATTCCCGTCCAAGATGGTTTACTACACTGATCACATTACCTGAATCGTGTCCACAAATACAATTCCGGGTCACTCGGCATAGCATGTACGCTCCCCTCATTTGTATGGGGCAAAAGGGGCCGCGTAAATAATTAGACTACTAAAATGGATCTTTTCATTATACATGACTAGTACCACTCGAACCTTGTACTAACTACTAGATACATAAAGCCACAAGGAACCATGTGGAAACTCAAATACTGTTGGAATTGCTCTAAATCTATCAACGAAATACCACATTGCTTTCCTGACCAAACACACTATGCACCTCAATACCCTTCTGTTCTTTCTCTGTGCGAGTGGCGCGATCGCCGCCCCACGCATTCTAGGCTGTCGCATGCCGAACGAATCCCTGAATCCGAGCGGAAATATTTGCACCTCTGCGGGAGGCAAAGTCACGGGAACGGTCAGAATTCATCCGTGGTGTTCTCAACAGAGAAGATTTAGATCTCATGCTGACGAAAATACACAGGGCAAATGCTGCACTAGCGGACCAGATGGCGAGGCCCTTATTGAGTCTCGCTTCATAAGCGGCTGCAATGATAACGGTGGCTTTGTCGGGCCGGACGAGGTGTTCGGGGCTTGTTGAAGAATGCATTCATTTCTCTGCCAATACATCTAGATATTTCAAACAAACAGGCGCTCGATGATATGTAAATGCTAGATCAGTTTGCATTATGGTGTGACAGCTTACGAATAGTACCGTCTTCTTGTGCGATTCTGGGACCCATTTGCCCATAAAAAGGTCATTCCAAAGGGGGGTCACACCTGCTCGAGCGCATGGCATACTCGATGCCTATAGCACGAGGTTGAGAGACTGAATTGCCTGTTTGATCTCAGACTCGGGGATAATCTGACGATTAGCTCTGACCAGTGCTTGCGCGATCTCCTCGATCTCCGCCAACCTAGACTTGGGCATCGGGGGCCGCATCACGGGCGTCTTGATGAGACCACGGAGCCAGACCGCCGTCTTGTACCGGACATGAAGCCGACCGATATCCTAGAATATGCTGAATCATCCAACATTCAGTAAGCAGGACAAATCCCGTTTCAATTACGCCACGGGAAATTTGGGCGAGGACTTACCACTGCTGCAACTCGGCAAGACCACCACCCTCCCAAACATCAGTCGCCGCCTTCCAGTCGCCCTTGCGCCACGCCTTGAGGTGCTCCATCATAGGCTCGAGCGCATAATTCCACGCGCCAGACGAGGTACCGTCGAGCATGCGGTCGGCGTGGTTCTCGTGCATGTAGTGACCGACGGCGGCGAGGATGTTCACGGGCCTCGGGTACCGTTGGAGGAAGCTGGCGATCTTGCGGTACCCGTCAAAGTTGTACATCATCTTCCAACCGACGATATTGGGGCACGTATCGAGGATCGCCTTGGTAGTCTTGATAGGCAGGCCCTGTCCGAAAGGAATGGAATAGCGCCCTACAGGGTGGATAACCACCGGTAGCGGCACGGCGGCTGAGACCTCCTTGATGATGTCGCTGAATATCTCCGGGTACTTGTCTGAGTCCCAGATGGCCACGATGTCTCCGGCTACGATCGGAGGAAAAATGAACAAGCCATCCGCGCCACTGGTAAAAACGCGTCAGTCAGGAAAGTAATGTTTGAATTCGGGAGGAGGCAGGCTTACAGCTCCAGTGCGTCTTTGGCTGTTTCGATGTATCCCCTGGTGTGGACATGCACAACTCCAGCAATGACTGGACATCGACCAGCCGCCTCCTCTATACATATCTGTACGACTTTCCTCCGTTCTTCCCGCTCCATAGTAAAATGCTCACCTGCTTCCGGGTTCGCGATTATGGCGCTTCCTTGCTCCAGGTATTCATCCTGCACTGCGGGGACGATGTCAGCCGTACTATCTGATTCAAGAGAGCGAGAACGGACTCACTGAATCGGCGAATGAAGGTTCGGTAGCCGTCGTAGTCTATTGTGTATGGGTCATCACGCAGGAAGGGGACTACCGGTGTGAAGAACAGCCTCTTGAACTTCTCTGGGTCAATGGTTATGTTGCTGCTGTCCGCTGCGTGGCTCCCGTTTGTGGCCATGGTTCGCTTCAAGACAAGGACGTGAACACAATTGTGATATGTGCAAAGTCGTGGATCTCTCCTGAAGGTCTCCTCAGTCTTTAGAGTTGTCCCCCCACCCGGCCGTCGCGGGTAATCCGACTATGTGGAATATCCGGATCTACGATCTGATGATGCTGACGGTCTCCTCTGAAGACACTATTGGAGGTGGAAACCGTGGTACTGGTCCCCTCGACTCTGGCATCTCACGCCTATGTAGCGTTGAGCTATCGCCCCCCACCTCGGAATGTCCGCGCGGGCCGGCAGTTTAAATGTCACATCGCCAGCCGACATTCCAGCTAACATAGCTCATGAATCCTGTCGCGAGAAACTCCCTCCCATATCTTGCGTTCTGGCGCTGTATCGATGCATGCCAAGGGCTTTGGCTAGTTCTGCTGTGTGAAGTCCAGTTATAAGTATACTGATCGAATCAAGAAACACACACTAGTTTTCTTTCCACATACGACACATCAAGGATCTTATAACGCCAGAATATAAAATTATTTCCTTCCTGAGAATCGCTTCGGTTATCGAGGTCATGCAGAAACCGAGTTCTGTTGAGCTTGTAAAGAACGGCTCCGGGCTCGCGGCAAGAGAGAATTCCGCAGAAGTCGCGCTGGATCCAGATGATCCCATGTCATGCGGTTGGCTCCGGAAACACAGTATTCTAGCCTACATCTCCTTGCTCGGTGGGCTTGGGACCTATGCTGGGTTGTTTATTGTTCCTGCGTGAGTGCCCCTCGGCCCTGTCTAGACAAATCTCTAAATAATCTCGAAACAGATACGGATTGATGTCTGCGCAGTTCGAAAGGTGTGTCACGGAGGTCTCGTATCTGGTCGGGATATACGTGCTGGTGCTCGGTGCAGGACCTCGGATTTGGAACCCATTCGCACAGACTCTCGGCCGGAGACCTGGTAAGCTCTGCTCGAGCATGCACCTTTAGGCAAGTTGACAAGGCGCGGCTGACTATCCAGAACAGTATATTGTGTCCACAGCAGTCGCACTTGGGGTCGCCATTTGGGGTGCCTGTGCCCGGTCGTATGGTTCTATGGCCGGTGCTCGTGTTCTCCTCGCTTTCGGTTTAACCGCTGTGCATGCGCTCGGCGGTATCACCGTTGCCGGTATGTTTCCAAGAGAAGTGAGAGGTGAGAAGATGGGATGGTGGACACTCCTGGTAAGTCTCATCGCAATATACTTGCACAATTCACTGACAGCTCAGACCACGTTGGGACCATTCTTGGGACCAATTTTCGCTGCATACATCGTTCAGGGTACGGGCAACTGGCACTGGATATTTGGGCATCCCGCCATCGTCTTGGGTGTGGTCTTAATCTATATGTGAGTATTTTAAAATAACTTATCCATGATCTCCAAACTAGTTTCAGCCTTGCCAGAGTGCCTTTCGTCCCTGAGACACTGTATTTCGAGGGCAATATCGGCGAGCAACACCAAGCGCGAAAGCTCTCGATTAGACTCAGGCCATTCGAACATGCTGAGATACCAAAATGGTCCACAGCCTTTTTCAGGCCGGTACGTGCTGCCATGGCTTGAATGTGGAAATATGCTGTGACACACAAACTGACAATTTCCGTGCCAGCTCATCATGCTCAGGTACCCAACCTGTTGGCTACCAGCCTTCTGGTTCGCATGGACATCCTCGTGGTTCGTCGGAATCGGAACAATTATCACCATAAATTTCCGGTGCTACTACAACCTCACCGCGCCAAACGTCAACCTCGTCTACATCGCCCCGCTGCTCGGAGCCGTGTTGGGTGAGCTGGCCAGCAGACCGTTCAGCGACTTCGTCATAGAGCGTCTGACTCAACAGAACAATGGCTACAGGCGGCCCGAGATGCGTCTTCATGCAATGTACCCGGCCA